GGCGCGGGTTGGGGTGGCTGGCGTGACGCAGTCCTCCGACGCAAGGGAAGGCATCTGTGAGCTCAAGTTTGATGAAGCGTTCTTCTCGAACCTCGAACAGATCGAGGGCATCACCGAGAAGGAGATACAGGAGCTGCGGCAGACTTGGCTCGAGAAGAAGAAGAATATTCAAGATCAGGTTCGTGAGCGTCTGCTGAAGAAGAGGAAGGCCAATGATGGACAAGCCGAGCCTGGAGGCGTACCTGACCTTGGCACGGGCTCTGGCGGCCCTGCGGCCGCAGCGGCGCCGGCGCCGTCACCTGGGGAGGAGGCCGCTGCTGAGGACGAGATCAAGGAGCAGGCGGAGCGCATCAGCCAGGCCAAGATCGCTGCAGCTGAGAGGGCAGCGCAGGCCACCGCTGAGTCGCGCGCCGCAGCAGCCGCGGGAGGTGGTTCCCAGGCCTCGTGAGGCCACGAGGGCGCCGGCGCGGCCCTCTCGGCGCCGACGCGTTCCTCAGAGGGGCCACTCCCACCCAGCGCCGATGGCGCATCGGGACGGACGGCCGCGTCGCCGCCTGCTGGAGCTGGAGCCGCGGTCCAGGACATCGGCCAATGCGACGACATCGGCGACGCTGTAGGCAGTGGCAGCCCGTTTCGAATATTCTACAGTAGTATTACTACTTTAGGGCCCAAGGTTCTCAAGTTTTTTCCATGAGCGTGTCTCTCGGTTCCAGGTCTGGGGGTTTGCCGAAACTCACGTCGACCAGGCCTCCCAGGCCAAGTAGGCCAAGGAGGCTCGAGCTCTTTCCCATTGGTCCTTTTTCAACCCTGCCCGCCCTTCGGGCAAGGAGATGTCTGAATCGCAGGTTTCAAAAGCTAATGAGGGCGGTGAGGCCTTTTTCGTGGAAGGGCACCGTCAGGCGCAGTATGTTGGATCTGCGCAGACTTTCCCCGACCTCGCCGTCCCCTCCTGCAGTGCTCTGGATGGGTTTCTCCCCATCACTCTCCACATGCAAGGCTACTCGATTGTTTTTGTTTTGTACTATGGGCTCCAGAAGTCTCGGGGAGTTTTCGGTGACGACGCTAGGAGGCTCACGCGTCTCGGGGCCTTCTTGGCTGCGCTCGCCTTCCCCTGGATTGTCTTGGGAGATTTCAATCTTTCCCCAACGGAGCTCAATAAGTCTCGTTTCTTAGACTCCCTCGACGCGGTAGCAATGACTGCCGACGTGGAGTCCACATGCGTCACAGGCACAGGCAGCAGTCACATAGATTATCTGGTCGTCAGTAGTGCTGCTCGTTGGTACATTCAGTCGATACACGCCAAGCTAGACGTGCCATGGGGCACGCATTGCGGATTGATTGTTTCTCTTGCCAGCACCAGTCGCCTTCTGTTGACTCGATCTTTGCAGTTATCCTCCAAGCTTCCTCAGGTTGCCAGGCCAGGGTCTCTGCCCCAACCTGGCAGCAAGTCCAGCAAGTCCAAGCAGGCTTGGATGGAATCCAAACAGAAGGCCGCCGAAGCTTTTCGCAAAGCTTGTGACGAGTTCTTTGGAGATTTGCTCAGTCAACACTCGGAGGTCAATCATCAAGCTGGCGTATCCACAGTCTCGGGTCAATCTGACCCCTTTGAACTTAGTCCTGCTCTCTTTGGCGAAGAGGATGAAGATCCTTTCGAATGCGGCCAGGATGAGCAGATCGATGAGCGGAGCATGAGCGACCCCCCCAGCGTTTCCCCCCCCCCCCGCGGAGGAATTCGGTGAATCTCGAGAAGTTGAGCTTCCGTCAGTGCCCTTCCTCGTTCCTGACTCCACTTGGCGTCATCATTCGGCTCAAGTTGGTTTCGTTCCACAAGCCAGGGATGACGTAGCCAGCTTTATTCGGGATTCGCACGCTTTTACGGTTGGGGGGTCGCATATTTTGGCAATCAGCAGTCGGTTTGCATCTTGTGTACAATCAGCTGAACGCTCTATTTCCGCTCATCATTCTGCTGGTCCAGAAGGCCAAGTCTTTCAGGGTCGATCTCGAGCCGAGGGACCCTCCTTACAGCAGCAGGAGGTCCAGAAGTATCGCGAGCTTCCGCTCTCCGATAAAGTTGCTACCTGGTGGTCTCGGGTCTTCGTTGTCCTCCAGAGGATCCACAGGCACCGTGAACGTGCAAATGGTTGTAAGCAGGTTAGGGAGTTGGTAGCCACTGGGATTAAGCTTTCTCAGGACGCCCCTCCTCAGGCTCATGAGGTACTCAGGTCACATTTTCAGGAACCTTCTCTGGAGGCTTGGGTGCATTACCTGGGTGTTATGGGGCAGCACAGTCTGGATTTACTTGGCAAGCTGGACTCTTGGGCTGAGCGCATTGCGAAGCGTGCCCAGCGCAGAGCAATCAAGCGTTCCTTGTTTCGGTTTCAAGAGCGGATTATCGACAGCTCCAAGCAAGGCCAAGTTTTTCGGAGCCTGCGAGCTGACCCATTTCCTGATGATGAGCTTCTGCATCAGGGGGCGCGGCTCTTTAACCCCGTCGATGTTA